GCGTCTGTCCATGGAAAAGAGCGCATCTGCTGGTTTGTGAGGCAGGATGATAGAGAAAGGTTTACCGGGGGCTTTCTTCCCTGGAATCCCCGACTCGCTCACACAGACTCACTCCTCTTGGCTTGATGTGTGTTGATCAAAGCTTGGGAACTAACTGGAGACCCATTCCCTGCCCTTCTACAAACAAGGTCACGCTAAAGCAAGAGACACAGTGACACCTCACTGTTTGGCTCTCAGATGATCACTCAGGGGCAAAAAGGTGCTGGAGAGATGCAGGAATACTGGGGTCTGCCCTGCCCACTGGCCTCATCTTGCCCTGACTTCTCAGGCAGGGGTGGAGAGATGGGCAGAGGGGGGAGGCAGGAGGGGTTTTGTTAAAGCTTTTAAACTTTGACCCAGAAGTTCTACTTCTAAGAACTTACCCTAAACAGTCAGATGTCCACAAATGTATAACTAAGAATATTCATCAGGTCTTTATATTAAAAATATATCACTGAACTTCTCAAACTGTGTGGCATTAGAATTGAAAATAGCCTGAAGGAAAAACGACAACAAGGAGCTGGTTAAATAAATGATGGTACCACCCCAGGATGTTTGGAACAGTGGTGCCCAAAGTGGGGCCTGAGGACCCTCTGAGGTCACTGAAACCCTCTCCGGGATCCACACGTTCCAAAATGTTCACAGTAATGCTAAGACATTACTTAGCTTTTTCATGGTCTTTATCTTTGCACCATTGGCGTAAAAACAAAAGTGGAAAAAGCTGCTGGTGAATTGGCACAGATCAGCACTGGCACCAAAGTGTACTAATAAGCATTTAACCTCTATTGCCAAGCACTTGCAGGGGTTAAAACAAAACAAAACAAAACAAAAAACCAAACCGTTTCCCTCAAGAATGTCTTTGATAAAGCAGTAGAATTAATTTTAATCTTGGACACATTTTTAAATACTCTATGTGACCTCATGGGAAGTATGCTGCTATGTAACAAGTAGGATGGCTGCCCTGAGAAAAGGCATTTGTTGTGATTGCATTGTGGGCTAAAGGTCCTACTTTTGTCACCCAACATCATTTTTACTTGAAATGGCAAGGCTATGTTAACACTTTTGTATGCCCTAGACACTTTCACCTTTGTGAGTCTTTCCTCTATAACATGATTAAAAATTACATTTTATGCTGAAACCAGTTTGGCTCAGTGGATAGAGCATCAGCCTGCGGACTGAAGGGTTCCTGGGTTTGATTCCGGTCAGGGGCATGTACATTGGTTGTGGGCACATCCCAGTGGGGGGTGTGCAGGAGGTGGCTGATTGATGATTCTCTCTCACGATGTTTCTATCTCTCTATTCCTCTCTCTTCCTCTCTGTAAAAAGTCAATAAAATAAAATTAAAAAAAATTTAAAAATTACATTTATGACTGCATTGGTATAAAGACAAATATATTAATTTAATTAAATTATTTTATTTGATCTAAAAATGTTGCCAGATAGGGAACCTTGCCGTGAGCAGGTCTGCCTCGGGCCAACTGGTAGTTTATGTGTGTTGCTGACTTAGTGTAGAAAATATTTCACATGTGACCATGTGGGAATGTCTATTAAAGCTGGGGACAGTGAGACAAGGAAGGGCTTAGCGTAGAAAAAGCAACAGGAGAGTGTAGGCTGGGCTGCCTTAGCTCACTGGAAAGTCAGAGAAAAGGGGACCTTGGAGACAGGTTCAGGGGGCTGGTCTGGGATGAGCTGTATTGCCCATTGCTCCCCTAGTTCCAATCTCCTGGGGTCCCTTAGAGTTCAGGGGATGCGTGCCTGTGGGGGAAGAAAAGGTGGGGGGGGGGGCATGGGTATGCTTCCCCAGAGGGAAGAATAGGCACCAACTAGGTCCTTTGTCTTGAGGGTTTTTCTCTCGTGCAGGTGGAAATCTCAAGGGAGATCTCAGGGGCATGTTTCAACAGAATATTCATCAGTTTTCTAGGTATGCTCTTTCAGGTTCGTGGTCGCTGCTTATTGGTCAATGTTAGGGCAGGGGTTAACTAGCCATTGCAGCAGGTCCTGGTGTCATCCATCTGGTTTTGCAGCTTTTCTGGGCCTGGAGCTGAAATGTAGGCCTACATATCACTTTAGGGAGGTGACCTTCTGTATCTGCTGTAAATTGCTTGGCCTGTTTGTTCAGCTATCTGTCTCAATTTCTCTACTTGCCAAGGAATGTTCCTAGCTTCTTACTGCCCTGCCTTAGTACCAATGGAGGTTTTTGTTTGTTGTGTTGTTGTTTTTTAATGGAGGACGGGGCCCATGAAGGCAAATATTCCGAAGGCCCAAGGGTGGTGAGAGGTGGGAGTTGTGGATGGGAGGGTGGAGCCTTCTGGAGAAGTAGAGACAGGGTCTCTGCATTGGACAGCTCCAGGGGACAATATCACTAGTGAGTTCTATGAGAATGGCACACTGAGGATGGGCATGAAGGGGTGGGCAGAGCATCAAGATCAGCTCTTGGAGGAGTGTGGACTCTAACCCAAGGACAGCGATACATGACTGAGTGGGGGGTAGGGAGGGGATGGATGCTGGGTGTAGAGGAAGCCAGGCCCCTGGAAAGGCTCTCTTCAGTTCTGAACCATGAATGAGAGTTGAGAACTCAGATGAACTGGGTTTGAATCCTAGCACCAGCCTCGCCTCTCTGTGATGTCAGGTATATTTCTCGGTTTTCCGAGTCTGTAGTGTCTTCATCTGTAAGATGAGGATAGAAATGTATCAGAAATAGCCTGCCTGCTGAGGCTGTTGAGAGGGTGAAATGATGGGATGTGTGTGACCTGCACATGGTGAGTTTACAATAAGACGGAGAGCAAAAGGCAGCCTTTTGAACATTACCTACTTCTAAGTCACCACCAGAAACCAATGCTGGGGTGGAGGTGAGCAGTTCCTTCGTGGCCCCCTGGGGTTGCAGTTTGACACTTATTGGACAATCATCCTTTGTGCCTGGCCTTGGCCATTACTGAGGACTTGGGGAAGAAGCCTCAGGTGTGTCCACCACCAAGGCACCAGAGGCTGCAGGCATCTTCTCCTCTCTAGGCAGGCCTGGGGTGAAAACACACCTAGAATGTTGCTCTCCCTGGGAAGGAGCCTGTCATGGGCCTGGCGCCCAGTAGGTGGTCAGCAAGTGTCAGTTGAACAAATAAAGGAAGTCTAGCATCCCCCTGACTTGCTGTGGCCCACAGAAACCTCACCTGGTGGCTGGCCCCTGCGGAACTGAGGGGCCTGCTCCAGGACCAGGGAAGGACAGAGTAATAAGGCAGGTGGTCTTTGCACCTTCCTCTGACATCCTTCTGCAACTTCCCCGGGGGTTGGGGGTCCTCACACATCCTTAATGCTTTATTTTTGGACACAAAGAATCATCATTTTCCCAGTCTCATCTGCTATAACTCTCCCCTTCACTCATTCCATTCCAACAACCTCACACTCACTATTCCTTTTTTAAAAACCAAAATATTACTGACACAGTACTAAGTTTAAGGTGTACATTGTGTTGACTTGACACATTTATGTATTGCGATATGTTATCCTTTTCCCTTTAGTTAACATTGTTATCATCACATAATTAACATTTACTTTTTTGTGGTGAGAACACACTGTTCCTTTGCCTCAGGACCTTTGCACTTGCTGTTGTTCCTCATGCTTGGAACACTCCTCCCCCAGATAGCAGCATGGCTTGCTCCATTAATTCCCTCAGGTCCTTGCTTAAATGTCACCTGGTCAGGGAGGTCTTCTCTAACATTTGAAACCCCATCTCACATCACATTCCAAATCCTTCATCCCTGCCTTATTTTCCCCCACAGCATTTATATCATCCACCACATCATCGCTTTTGCTGATTGTGTTTCTTCCCCTCCTAGGTTGAAACCTCCAGGAGGGCAGGGAAATTTGCCTGTTCTGTTCACTGCTTTATCTTAATCACCTAGATTGGTGCATGGCCCAAAGGATGACTTCCATACTTGACTGAATCAATGGATGCATGAGTGACATGGGTTGGACACTGCTTTGCAGAGTCCAGTGCAAAACACCCTGGTGATGGGAAGAGGTTAGCACCGCTGCTCTGAAAGTCAGCCTGAGGGCGGGAGGGATTTGATGAGAGGGATGGTACCTTAAACAGCACATCAGCCCTGCTGGGTGTGTATTGTTATTTAAATTTGGTCTACAACCAGGTGCTTGGGCAGGTGGAATAGGGGTAGGGCCCTATTTACCCAGGAAAGGGCACTACCTACCGCCTTCGAGAGAGGAACCTAATTTGGAGAGTCTCGGGTGGGCTCCTCCGCTTTCTGCCTGTCTACAGTTTTTAAAACACGCGTGTGGTGATAAAAAACCACTGTTTACACTGGTGAATCCCAACTGGGTTTGTTCAATGGAAGAAGTAGCTAACGGCTTTCGTGTGCAAAGCCGGCCCAAACTTCTGATGGTCACGATGAAGCAGGATAGTTGGTCAAGGGACCAAAACTCCGGGGCTCTCATCTAAAGACAGCGGCGGGGACGAGGGGGTGGGGGAGGCTTTGGGGCGCGCGGAAGGCTGGCACTGGCTGGGAAAGGAAAAGTGGCAACAGCAATCGGGCCTCCTTCTGCGGGTTAATGGGAAGGATTCCAGAGAGGAGGCGGCGAAAGCCCCAGGCTGAGGGCCGGGAACACAGTGGGCGCTCCGTCATTGCCGCTGGAGACACTCAGCCTGGGACGCGCGCTGGAGAAGCGCTCCTGCCGGGGCGTCTCTGCTCCGGGGACCTGCGTCCGGCATCCGGCGTGGGTGCGCGGTGCCTGAGGGCGGAGGGCCGGGCGCCAGGCCCTCGGTGCAGCCGGGGACAGACCGACAGACAGACCGGCCGACGTCCGGCGGCAGAGCGCGGAGAGCCGCGGCGCGCGGCGGCGAGGCGGGGGTCACGGCCGGGGCGGCGCGGGAGGGGGGGCGGCCGGACGCGCGCGGACCGGATGGGATGTGACGAGCGGCGCGCTGTGCATTGTGGGAGTCCTGGGGCCGCCGCGACTGGTTCCAGTTCACTCGGCAGCGGAGCCGGGCGGAGGGGGCGAGCGCGGGGCGTGCGGGCGGGAAGCGAGGGGGCGGGCGGGCCGGCGAGGAGCGCGGAGAGAAAAGGCGCGAGTGGCCCCGAGGGCACCGACCGGACACCTTGCTGCCGCCGCCGCCGCCGCGCCGCCTGTAAGTGCCGCGCGGAGCCCTCGCCGCGCGCCCCGCTCCCGGCTGCCCGGTCCGGCCGCGGGTGCCCGGGAGCGGCCCGGCCCGGCGCGCTCCGGGGGGCGCGGGTCCGGCTCCAGCCTCCGGGGCTCGGCGCGGCCCACGCCGGGGGCTCGCGCGCACGGCGCCTTCCCGGGCCGCGCGGGATTCCCTTCGGTTTTGTTCAGAAAGCAAACCCGGAAGCCAGCTCCTCACCGCCGCGTCCTCCTGCCCGCGCGCGGCGCTTTTGTGCGGAGCAGACAGCGGGGCCCCTTTCCTAGCGACCCTGCTGCCTCGGGCCGGCGGGCCGGCGGCTCGGCCTGAGGCCGGGGGAGGCCCTGCGGCGCCGGCTGGCCGGCCTGGGCCTGGGCGCCTGGCAGCGGGTGTGCACGGAGTTGGACTCGGCGGGGCCCCGCCGGCTCGCGAGTTGCGGCCCCGGCACAATAAGTCGGGACCGAGAACTGGGTAGCCGCGGGGTAGGCGCTGGCTCTACCTGCTGGGAGGGCGGGTGAGGTGGGGGCGGGTGGAGGACCCTCGCGGGGCTGGAGCCGGGCTGGGCAGGGAGAGGGCTGTCTGGAGACTGGCCTGAGAAGGGGCCACGAACCCCCTCCTCCCCCTCGCTGTTCTGATTGGGCTCCGGGCCTTTTGTTTGCTCTGGGTTGGGAGTTTTCAAGGTAACTCCTCCAGAAGGCTGCAGGCTCCCCTGGTGGAGAAGGCCAGGAGGGAAGAGACTCGTTGGGGGTGGGGTGGGGTGGGGTGGAGTTCCAGGCGAGTTCTAAGGATGCTTCTGCTGGGTCACCTGACAACAGGTGTGCGGATGGTGCGCCCCACCTCCACTCCAGCAGGGGCCACAGATCACTCCAGGATCTTGTGAATAGACTGCTTGGAAGGTTCTTTTAGAGAGAAGATGTTAGGGAAAAGATTCCTGAGTTTGAAAGCGAAAGCCTTCCGCTGAGGCAGACTTTGAATTCGCTAATTACAAAGACCGTGATGTCCCTGTAAGATTTTAATGACTCAATAAACAGCCTATAAGAAGAGACAATTAGAGGGGCGCCCCTGCTAGCTTCTCTTTTTCTTCCACCTTTGTGGTTTGAGGTTTTACCGTTAAAGGGGGGAGCAGGGCAGGGCTTTGTTCCAGGGCTCTCTGCTCCAGGGCCTCGGGGGAATTTTGAACAGCTTTAGGTTTGTGTGGGAGGCTCCAGTTCTGTTAGGTAGAATCCACCTACTATGGGCCACCTTTAGAGTGCTCTCTGCGGCCAGAGGAGTCATTAACTTCTGCAACTGGAATGAATACCCCCGTACACAACTAACCAAAGTTGGGCAGTGGCATCTCAATCTTGCACAAGAGGCTATTTGATAAATTACATATTTGTAAATCTGTTTTTTTTTTCTTTAAACAAGTACCGCCAAGACTTTAAAATTTTTCCCCAAAAACGTTTTAGTAGACGGAAATCTCTCCATTTTGTTTTAACCTGTCTTCATTGTATGGTGATAAAGGTATTAAAAAGGACAGAAGGTTCATCAGTTTATGTTGTTCATTATTTCCAAAAACAGACCCAGAGAAAGAGAAGCAGCGATCAGACTCTCAAACCTCAGAGGGAAAGTAGGGGAAGGTGGGGGTAAGAGGAAGAGATCAACCAAAGGACTTGTGTGCATGCATATGGGCCTAGCCAGTGGCCATGGACAACAGGGTTGTGGGGGCATATGTAGGGAGGGGGTTGGGATGGGAATGGGGGGATAAGGACAATTATGTGAGACCATAATTAATAAAATAAATAAATAAATAAAAAGGACATGAAATAAAAAAAAAAGACAGAAGGAGTTAAGTGAAGGTAGTTTGAGGCATATCCCTTCAATATGAGGAAGGGATAGTTTGTTAAACTTTGCGAGTTGTCTAGAACAGCCGTCACCAACCAGTGGGCTCACTTTATGATGTAGTGTTTTATAAATGGAGAAAGATGTTCTTTCTGATTGGCTAGAGTACCAGAACAGGTCTCTGTTCTGAACCAATCAGAGCATAGCTTGTGAACCCCAGTTCTGTGAATGATGCTTGTGTAGTATATCCACAGGCCTCTGGGGATATGACAGCAGCAACATTGTTAACCATTTGATGTGATAGGAGTAAACAAAAGAGAATGCTGTCAATAGGATTAATGTCCTATACTTCAGAATTGAGTATCTCAGGTTAGCCTTTGTGAATGGAGTTGATGGGAAGGTGATAAATGCATGTGGACACATGGGCATTTGTCCAGCTGCAGGGAAAGGATGGCGCAATCTTCCCTCAGCCACAGTGACTTGAGCACTGATAGCTCAGATTCCTTTATCCTCAGGTACTGAAGATAGGGATGTCTAACTAACAGCTCCCGAGCAGTTATAATATTCATTCAGGATCAATATGCATGAATTCGTTGCTTAGATAATAAAATACTTCATGACTGATCATTTCAGTGGTTTTGTGAGTGCCCTATCTAAGATTTTTTCCCCTGCTGCATCTTTAACAGAGGTCAGTCTCTTATAGATATGAGGAAGATAAATAGTATCCTCTACTCTGTGTTAATGAGCTGGTCCAGGGGCAAGAAGGGAGGTCATTGGAGCCATGGAATTGTCAGGGAGTGGAAGGCTTCTGCATGGCTCCCACCTCAGGCATCAGGACAATTGTGTTCCTTTCTTGGGGAATCCCCAAAGTAGTTCCACAAGATCCCCGGATTTCCAGAGCCTGGGATCCCACAGGGATTAGCCAGATAAGTGTACATGACTGGTCCTAGAGAAGGTCCCCAGTCGGTGTCCCACTTCCAGATCTCTGAGTCAGGTGACCTTTGGAAATGCTACTCTCATCTTTGTTAGGAGACTCCTCCACAGTAAATGCCAACAAATCAACAAACATCCAGCCAGCATTTGAGAGCCTTCCAGGTAGCAGGCAGAGAGATAGTCGTGAGCAGAGCTGACAAAAGGTAAGGAAATAGGCAGCGATGATTCAGGGTAATAAGTGTTGAGGGTGAGGTAGTAGTTGGTTTTAGAATGTTTATATAAATTGGATCTAGAGGGGCAATTAGGGTGGAAGGAAGGCCTGAGACTGTATTTGCAGAGTACTTTATATATGATTGAGAAAGCAATTGAACATTTTAAAGAATGGTGGCAGGCCTAGGGGCATTATCCGGGCTTTTTATCTGGGTTCAGGGGCTACAGCAGGGATGTCCACTGAGAAAACTGGGAGCAACCCAGCCTGGTGGAGCCCTGGTTGCTAGCAATAGGGAAGGACGTAAGCAGGGCCTTGTGTGCAAGGCTGGAGCTGGGTATGGGCTGCCCAAAACTAGACTCTGATTGGGGGACAAGGCAGGAATGTAGAAGAGAAAGATCCTTGATAGGTCTGCATTAGCAGAGAAGGTTTGGGAACCACGGAGTAGGAGAGTCCCAGGCAGAAGGCGGAGAGAGCGTTCCAGGCTGAGCATGTACCAAACAGTAGGTGGGAATGGAGGTGGTTTGCCATGGAGTGAGAAGCCTGTTAGGGGGCCCTGTTGGGGAGAAGTGTGAGTGGAGTGGTATGGTAGGTAGGATGGCCCTTTGCCCTCCTCAGTAGTAGAAGGCTTGGGTTTTTCATGTCCATCTTACTCATGGGTCCTCACAGCCAGGCTTCTAATTAGTCTGTGCTATGAGAACAGATCATGTTTGCCAGAGACTTGCATCTCCCTCAAGCCTGGCTCATCCCTCTGTATAGCCCCTCTCCAACAGTGTATTTCTTGAGTAAACTTTGGGTTTCTGCAAACAAGCTTCCTTTCTGTCGTGATTGATTTATAGTTAGAGGAGCTGCAGAGATAAATACCACAGAGACCCCTGCAGGATCAACCGCAGAGTCTTCATTTCCTGACCTGATAACAGTAAAAAAGGTGGCCAAGCTAATGTATATGAACATAACGTGATATATGGATGCTAAGGTTGCCTGAATATCTTTTCTTACCTTCTGAGCATGTGCAGCCCTTTGCAGGGGTAAGGGCTTCTAGTTCACTGAATGAGGTGTCCTGGACGATGAGTCCAGGAAGGAAGGACACAGCTAAGGTTGCCTGAATATCTTTTCTTACCTTCTGAGCATGTGCAGCCCTTTGCAGGGGTAAGGGCTTCTAGTTCACTGAATGAGGTGTCCTGGACGATGAGTCCAGGAAGGAAGAACACAGCTTTGTCTGTTGATAAGAGAGTGTTGGTGTTTCTCCTGTGAGCACCGTCTGTCCCCTGAAGAGAAGCTGAGTGCATCAGAAGTTACTTTTTCTATGATGAGAACTATCCATTTCTCAGAAGAGGCTGGGTGCAGGTCATGGGTCAAACAGGGCCCAGCAGGCTTTGGTTGGTCATCCAGACTTGGATTCAGGGTCAGCTTTCAAGTTGGTTTGTCATGTGACAGGCTGTTGCCTGTTTTCTTCTGAGTAAATAGGTAGAGGACATTTCTCAACTTCTCTTGGCCATGTGATCAAGTACTATGTGACGGATCATGGTTAGAAGTAGTATGCCTCATGTCCAGGTCTGGGCCCTGAAAACCTCCATGTGTTTTCCTCCATGGCCTTTTTCCTTCCATGGTAACCATGGGAATTATGATGGATTAGTGGGAGTGTGGATCCATGAATCATCCTGTGGAGAAGCATTGGCCAATCATGGAAACCCACTTGGGACTTTTCATGAGTAAAAAATAAGCTATAGGGGGGCTTATTATGGCAGCTAGTGCTGCCCTCATCAGTACAAATATCCATTGCCAGTTCTTCAAGGTGGTGGTCTTTTTGCATCTTATGCACATTGTTGTCATTTTTATTAACTTTACTGAGCACTCAGTGGGTGTCAGGCCTTTACCTTGTATTTAATTTTCTTATATTCTTACTAGAGGCCCGAGCATGAAATTCATCCACAGTTATGTTCCCTAGGGCTGGCTTGCAATTTGGGCCATCTTCCCTGGCTACCCGAAGCTGGTCCCATCCTCTGCCACTCCCCACCCCCCGGTTCTCTGTTCACTATCTGGCATTTGATCCTGCTGGTCAGTGTGCCTCATAGTGACTGGTTGAGCGGTCATTCTGGTGGTTCTGCCGTTAGGGTCAATTTGCATATTACCCTTTTATTATATAGGATATGCATGCTCTTATTCAACTCTTTGAGGTCTATTCTATCATCATTTCTACTTGACTGATGAGGAAATAGACTCGGGGGCTATATCATGTGCCCGAGGACACAGGCTGTGAAGAGCAGAGCCATGACTTGAACCAGATCAGTCTGATTTTGGAATTTGAGTTACTCACCTCAGTGCTCATCAGCCACTATCCCCACATTGGATCCTGGCCATCCCATATTTCCTTCCCCTCTAAAGAGCAGGATGGGCCTGCACATTCATGGGTTTATCTGGAGACTGCAAGTTATAAGTTGATATTCCCAAATACAGCTGGATGTCATGAGGCTGCATGGCTTAGAATTATCATAGCTGTGGCTGCAGCTTGGGGATCTATAGTTAGAATTGCAAAAAGAGCATGGGGAGGGATGAGCAATAGAATCTTGCAGGATAGCCTCCCTTGGGGAAGGAATAAAGACTTAGATCTGCTTTATCAGAGAGAACTGGACTCAAATGAGACCTGAAGATCTTCATTGAGCAGAGTGGCACTTGAGGTTCCATGAATTTTTAGATCTTTCCTGGGACCCAGAGAACCAGAGATGAATTAACTACAGTGCCTGGCATCAAGTAGCTTGCAATTAGGTAACGTTGGGGAGGGAGGCACACAGATCTGTGCCAGGATATGTACTATGGGAACATGAAGCAGATAGCAGTTCCAGTCCATGGCCAGGTCCAAGAAGAGGGTTCATGTGGGCACAGTTTGGTTGGCAGGAGAACAGGCAGCAGTAACAGCATGTATAAAGACATTCTGGGCACAGCATCACAGGTCAGGAAGTCAGGGGCAGCCTGGGGCATCTGAATCCAGGCAGGGTGGCAGGAAGCAGTGCTGCGGAAGCAGTTGAAGGATGCTGTTTGTGGCTGGCTTAGGCAATGAAGAACTAGCAAAGTGGGCAAGAATCCTCTAGTGTTTATGGGACCAGACTGGTGCTGGGGAAGTAGGTAAGTAATAGAGCTGAATCAAGGTGGGGATGGGGTAAAGAGGCTTAGAAAGTTCCAGAGGTGGGCTCAGCAGAGTTTGGCTAATGATTGGGTGCTGGGAAGTGAGCAAAGAAGTGGGGCCAGGCTGACTCTCTCTTGGTAGCTTGATGCATGATGTTGCCGGTGATGGAGCTGAGAAACTCTTGAGAAGAGTTGAAGGCACCTATGGCACTTCCAAGTGAGCCCTTGCCACAGGCAATCAGAACAGAGCTCTGGGACTCAACAGCCAGATATGCACTGGGCTGGAGGCATGGAGGCCTGTGAGTTACCAGCATGTGGATGATGCAATGACTCTTTAAAAATCCTCACCCGAGGATATTCTTTCCATTGACTTTTTTTTCTTTTTATTTATAGAGAAAAGTGAAGGGAAGAGGGGGAGAGAGAGAAACATTGATGTGCAAGAGACATATTGATTGGTTGCCTCCTACCAGGGCCTGGGATCAAGCCCACAACCATAATACATGCCCCTTGACTGAAATTGAACTTTAAACCCTTTGGTCTGAGGGCCAACGCTCTAACAACTGAGCCAAACTGCCCAGCGTGATGTAACCACTCTTGGCTAGATTCAGAGGGAAGCACCAATAAGAACGGGCTGAGTTGCATTAATCATCACTGACTACAGGCCTCTCCTGAAGCCTAACCTCAGTTTACCAGTAAGTGGGAGACCTGCCCATTTGGTTCAATGGTCAGAGCATACTAGTAAATGTCCTCTAGGAAAAGCTTGCCTGGTGCCCCTAAATAGGCAAAGGCCTCATCACAGCCTCTCCTAGCACCCTGCGCTGGCCTTTCACCACTACCACTTAAATGACTGTAGGGTTTTTGTCTCTATCCCCCACCTGCTCTGCGAGAACAGGGACCACACTGTGTTGTGCACTGCTATCTCCATTCCCTAGCATAGGTCCTGAAGAGAATGCATGGTGACCTGAATGCTTTTAGCAAGCATTTCAGACTTTACTGTGTGGTGCTACTCTAGGAGCACAGTCATGGGCAGATTCAAGAACTTGCAGTCTGATGGGAGAGATGGGGGTATGTGCCCATCATGCATGAAGCACATGGGAGCCTAGAGGGTGGAGCATCTGAATTCGAGTCCTTGGGGAAGGGTTGGCAGAGGGCAGGAAGCAAGTATGAAGGATGGAGGAGATCCTAGCCAAAGCACAACTACTGCAGAGGAAGGCATTTGGGGGGACTACACACAACCACAAGAAGCACAAAATAAAGCTGGATGGGTGTGCCAGGCCTAGATTTTAGGGCATTGCTTGGCAGGCCAAGGGTCCCGATTTTTATCTTGCAAATTTGGCAGCCAGTGAACACTTTAAGACCAGGGTTATGATATATTCAGACTTGTGTGTTTAATGATAACCCTGTCCATGGAAGGAGGTGGATTACAGGAAAGGGGGCCAGTGGCGGGAGATCTTTTCCGGAGACATTTGTGATCATTCAGTTAAGATAGTGATGACCTGGATCTTGTCATAGTTGGGTGGAGAGGAGAGGACCCCCACAGAGGTGTTGAAGAGGGGACATCCTCTGGACTGAGAGTCATTTTGGATGGGAATGGGAGGAGCGGGGAAGGAAAAACGCTTTTCTAAGGGCAGGCCTGTTCAGCAGACTGGAAGTGTCCAAGGGCCTCTCATTCCAATGTGGCCACCCACTGAGCTCCCGTGAGCTGCCCTGCCTCTCACAGATGAAGGATTGTAAGGTACAGATGCTGCTTTCATCAAAGAGCATAGGTCACTGGCTTTAAAGCTTCATTCTAGGACCACTGACATTGTTTTTGTTTTCTTTTATGAAGACTTCAGCAAATTTATTAGTTCTGGCCTCCAGGATATGAGAATGCAATTATTAAACAAGTGTGTAAAACACATCCAAGAATTCCCGTTTTCTTTTATATCATGCGGTATAAAAGCAAGACACTTAAGAACGGTCATTTTAAATGGAAGGGGCTGATAAAATTGATGTCATGGTATAAAATGTAAAAAGCTAAGCCATTCTCTCTTCAGGAGCTGCAGCACCTCAGTATAGAGTATCAACAGGGCTTGGAGGGCTGCTGCTGGCAGGACCTATTTCTCCCAGGGGCCAGAGTATAAGGGGAAAGGGAAATGGCGCTGTCCCAATGATCCTGATGGTGTCCCCTTGCTTCCCCAGTGTGCTTACTGATCCAGCTCCAGGACCACCGCCATGTCAAGCCGAGGCGGGAAGAAGAAGTCCACCAAAACCTCCAGGTCCGCCAAGGCAGGAGTCATCTTCCCTGTGGGGCGGATGCTGCGGTACATCAAGAAAGGCCACCCCAAGTACAGGATTGGAGTGGGGGCGCCCGTGTACATGGCCGCTGTCCTGGAGTACCTGACAGGCGAGTACCCAAATCAACTGTGACACCACTGGCAGTTCTGACAGCTTTTTTGTTCGTTTCTTTTATTTTAAAACTTTTCAAACCTACAATAAAGTTCTAAGAATAGTATTCTGAACATTGGAGACTCTTAGAGGAGACATGCCCGGTAGCATGAACTAGGCATGATTCTTCCTTCTCACTATAGAGATAAACAGAGGTCCAGAATTTATGTGGCACGTGCTGGCAGCCATGCAGAGACCACAGAAGTCACTGGATATGAATCAGAGGACATTTTCTAGTTTTGGCTTGGCAGTTACATGCTGTAGGACCTAGAGTGAGCCAGTTAACCTCCTGGACCTGTTTCCTTACAACTCAAATGGATACAAGAGTTCTGCTCCACCAGCTCCAGACTGCCGTGAGAGCCCAAGGGGCTTTGACCATTGGGAAAGCCGATGTGATGTGCAAAACAGCCAGCCTGTTTGTTCTGGTTTCCAAATGCCATGGTACCCCTATCACTGGGGTTTTCATAGACACTGTCATTAGGCCAAGTACAACATCAGATTCATTTCTTCCATCAAGCTTCCTCTTTTTAGTTTTCAGAGCGTGGGATGGGGGATACCACAGCTACATCATCTCTGAGACAACTAGTGTCTGTACAGCAAACCTATACATTTTCCTTGTCTGTGCCTGGCTGGCTCTAAAACTGAGGTTATGAGGTCACAGTTAGCGGGTCCGTTCTCATGGCGTCCAGAGACCTTGATCCTGTTTGCACCCACATCCATCACACCTGTCCCCAGCTACCATAGGTGTTTGGTAGTGGTAACATAGGGGAGTGGGAACAGCCAGGGCAACCTGTTACTAGAGCTGGAAAAGTAGTTTACAGCAAATCCTTACTCTCATATTAGTCAAGTTAACCCCTTGTACATATTTACTAGGTGTACCAGTTAATAGTGCAGACTTTGTAATCAAAACACGATAATTTCAAGAGAAACATCAAAAGTGCTTTATTCAAAGTATTGTCCATCACTAGCTACACATTTCCCCTATATTTCAGGTAATTAATGCATATCGTCTCAATAGAACTTTTCTTGTTTTGAGGCAAACCATTCTGAGACCCAATTTTCCACTTCTTCGTACATTTTGAAGTGCTGCTCAGAAAGGGCATATGCCATCGAGCGGAATAAGTGGTCATCTGAAGGAGCGAGGTCTGGTGAATACGGCCAGTGGGTTTATACTTCCCAGGCAAGATCTTTTAACATGTCTTTAACTGGTTTTGAAATGTGTGATGGCGCATTATCATGAAGCAAAGTTACTTTGCTGTGTCTTCCGGCCCATTCTGGTCGTTTTACAATCAAAGCATGGTTCAAATTGACCTGGACATTCTTTGTCTTTCACATTGAAATCATCACTCTTAAAGCGTTTAAACCAGTGTTCACAAGTATCTTGAGATGGAGCAATGTTCACCATAAGCTTTCCGAAGTATATATGATAACTTTCAGCAGCACTTTCAAGTAATGAATTAAAACTTACCGTAAATGCTCTTTTTTTTTTTTAGCACGAAATTAGACATTTTTAAGCGTAAAAATATCTATGATGTTAATACCTTCAGAAAATTTGACATAATGAAGTTTTGAAGCTTGTTGTCCATACAACAAAATAGTGTACATATCAAATTGCATATATATCAACATATGTGTAGCTCCATCTACTGAAAAAAAAAATCTGCATTGTTAACTGGTACACCTAGTAAGTTTTAACAAGACCTTCCATAAAGCTATAGTTAGCTGAATCTGAACCATTTTTTTTGTCTGCACACAGTGGTGAGTCACTGGCATGACCATTGTCTAATAGCCAGTCCCCAAATGGTGCCGGGCCTTCATGACTGGCACCTCAAGAGACATCCTGAGCTAGCAGTTCTGTGTCTGGTCACTGCTGTGGTCGCTTATGTCCTGTGTCCTGATGATAGGATAGGAGCTGAGTTCTGGGGCCACGTCCAGTAAAAACACGGCTTCATTCTGCTTCTTAGAACAGTGCTGCACACCCATACTCACTGTTCTCAGAAGGTGACCTACCCTGAGCCCCTTAGGCTAGAGCATGTGGATATTTGGAAATCCTGGGCATCTGCCCACTCAGAACTTCGGTTTTGGTCCTTAAGAAAAAGGAAAGGTGACCAAGATCTCTAATCTCTATTCTGCTATTTGCTTTTGCTTTATTGAAGACCCTTTCCCATTCATTCCCATATTTATTGAGTACTTAATGTGTTCCAGGCACCATGCTAGACTCTGTATGAGAGCTTAGGAATGTTGGGGGCAGAAATGGTCTCTGCTTTTTCAAGTTCACAGTTTATTTGGGAGAAAGAACCAACCAACCCAGATGTTTACGGACTTTGATAAGTGCAGTGAAGGGCAACCAGCCTTGTGAGAGATGGGAGAGGGGCTCTGCCATCTGCTCATCTGTGCTGGATACACCTCCTGGGTGCCAGCCAGCCTCTTGTGAGAGCTTGGGGAAGATATCAAAAGAGGGGGAAGCCAGGGTACCAACCCCTAAGTAGCTCAGGACCTAATCAAGATCGTGGCCAGATACAAGGCATGTGAGGGAAGTACCATCATTTAGCAGGTCCTCACTAAGAGTTGTGATGTGTCTGGCACTGGAGTATAAGCCCAAACAAGACCTATCCCCACCCCAAAGAGGTGTCTGTCCAGGGATAAGACCAGGTAAGAGAAACTTGGTGATGCAGGACCACCTATTCCATGAAAAGGTGTCAAGAAACATTTCCTGGAGGATATGTATTAATCAGTTAACCAGATTGGCCTGCTTGTCTAGTTTTCACCTAAGGGGTGCTATGGAGGGATTGTTTTCTTGTCTGCAAGGCCCAGACCCTTACAGGTGGCAGACAATTGCAGGTATGGTGATGGGGGTATGCAACACAAGGCTCTTGGAATGTCTGGGCCAATGTCTCCTCCCTTCAGAAGGCCCCCATGGAGAAATGAGTGGGGGGTCTGGATGCTTAGGGGCTTCTAATAGGATTGCTGAACTAAGGGCCCGCCTAGGCCTAGGCAGCTCTCGAGCAGGTGGCCAGCCCTGGGGAACACTTGGGGTGCCATGATGTTCAGTGGAAATCAGGTGGAGGCAGTGGAGCTCAGCAGTTAGGAGTGTGGACCTTGGTGTATGAGCTGCCATTTCTTAATTGTGGCTTCACGCAAATCACATCTCTGAGCTGTGGTTTTATTGTCTGTCAACTGAGGATAACAACAACTCATAGGGTTGTCATGAGGCTGAAATGAGTGGATGCACGTGAGTAGCTTTGCCTTGCCGGCACAGTGTCCATGCCCACATGCTATTATTATACATTAGGGTTAAATTAAAGAGAATCAGGAAGTCCCTAGTCATCTTGCTCTGGCTGCTGAGGTGACTAGGGGTTGCCACTTCCCTTAGGGATGGTGATGGGAGGGCTAGCTTCTAGCTCTGAAACTTGAAGCTGGTGTCTTTCTCCTCTTGGGTCCAGAACCCAGTCATCTACTGAACTTAAAAGGAAAAGTCAACATTTGGAACGAGGTTGAATCTGATGACCACACAGCTCCTTCCCCAAATCTCTGTGTGCCTGGCTCTGCAGCACTGCTGGACTCTGCCCAGAGCTTTTCCTGAGGAATGTGAGGTTGTCTGCTGTCTTTTCAGGCCTAGGACTATGTGGGCTTCATGCCATCTCTACCTTCTAGCCTAAGGGGTTATAATAGCCCCCCACCTTTTGGGGTTGCTGTGCAGATTAATATTGCATCACATAAATTTAGCCAGCAACCATAGTAAACCCTCAATAAATGATAGCTAAAAATAATGTTACGGGGAAACAGGCAGTTTCTTTGAGGAATCATCTTTGCCTTCATAGTTCTGTGGCCTTTTTTCTTAACTGATGTTTAAAAGCAACTTGGTTTAGTTCAGTCCTCTGAGTCTCTCCCTATGCCTAGCACAACCCTGTACATGCTGGAAGATATAGGAGGTGTGAACTAAGAAACATGACATGGCTTTTGCCCCAGTGAAATTTCCATTGATGATGGGGGACATACATTCCCATAGAACAGCAAGGAATAGGCAGATCTGAGCGATAAGGTAAGTGTACTTGAGTCTCAGAGTGGGGAAGTGGGGGAGTGGAGGGGTAAATGAGAATTGTGTGGAAGAGGAAAGAGCAAGCACATTTGTGATCCAATGCTCTCAAGTCACAAGTCCAAGACATTCTGAGTCAATATTGCTCAGATTATATTCAACAAAACCATGGTGTTTGGTGAAATTGAAGAGGTAGTACACCAAAAAATAGGGCTCTATGGCTGACGTGAGGAGATAGTGAGACTCTCATTTCCTCTTTTGAGATGGATATATGAATGACTTTTGATAAGTTCCTCAGTAAAGGTACTTGTTTTAGTTTGGGATTCACCAAGAAACAGCTTTTCTTACTGTAGGACTTTTCAGAGCTTTTAACAGACTGGTATCATCCTGAATCTTCAAGGAAAGGAAATATGATATGTTTTGGTTCCCAAACTAATATCACAAAAGTCTTTCAAGAGATACCTTTAAACGCCATGCACACAGTACAGTGTAGGGGACACTGTTGTGGGTTAAGCTCATGAGGAATGGCACTATGAGCAATGCTAATGAAGAAATAAAATCGAGAGCAACTATAAAGAATGAATTTTGGTCTGGCTTCGGTGGCAGAGGTACAAAGCTTGACTCATGGATAAGGAACCTCAATCTTCCTCCTCCATCCACATCTCTAGACACAGAATTCACTTCAATATTTGCTAGGGGAGGTAGAGACTTGGGAAGCTGTGCATTTTTTCTGTTAGGCTGAGTCACTCAGGCACTGACTCAGGAAGGCCTATCACCCTCCAGGCCTGTGCTGGACACTGAGATACATGACAAGAGTCCCTGCCCAAGGAACTTACCTTGGGCGGATGTGCCTTTGGAGCCATTTTACTCCACTTCTGAGAGAACAGGCCTGGTTGCCATTCATCGGGTCCAAAAAGATATCT